ACCGTGGCATACGTTGGCGCTTTGCAAGCAGTAAATATATAATTTAAAATAAAAGCAAAAACGCAGACTATGTGGATCAAATCATGAGATCTGTTTGCTCTGTTCTCTAATATTCCACTCTTGAGTTGGCAAGTTGGAGGGGAAAAAAACACTTTTTTTATTTAATCAAATTTTGTTTCATCTAGTAAACTTTCTTATTTCTGCTGACTTGCACTGTAGTCCCTTTTTACTTGTTAATTATTGAGAGGAAGTTATACCATGAAAGCTTCCATGGGTTGCTTCAAATGAAGGGCCTGGAAAAGGAGGGGAGGGCAGAATGGTATAAGGATCTGGGATCAGGGCTGATTAGAAGCTGAAAATAAAAGACCTTTGACATGCAAGGCAACTCTCTGCTCCCAAACCTGGGCAGTATTCTACTACAGCACGTGTAGAGCTAACTTATTACACTCTATTATTACCTAGGAGATGAATCATAAAGAAATCCCTGTAAAACATGCATAGGCCAGCAATTGGAATTCGTGTGTAAAGGTGATTGTAAGTTGGGGCTGAGCTTTCTGCATTATTTATACATGTGAATATCTATGAAAAAAAAAAGTTTTCATAGATTTAATTTACTTATTGGAAACGTATATATATATATATATATGTGTGTGCGATGTTTATGAAAGATGCATCTAGCAGGGCACCAGTCATATAAATGCAGTGCTTTATACTTAATTAAAGGGGTAAATTCACTAACTTGTGAACTGACGTGTTGGATGGCAACAATACTGCAAGGGCTTAAACAGGGTAAAAAGTTTACATATAGTATGATTTAAAACAATATTAACAAACTAATGAATAAACAAATAAAATGCTTACACTGTTCACTGGTGCCCATTAAATGAGAACCACATTGAATAAAGTCATAAAGCCAATTCCCTTTCAAAAAGTTTACATATTCTATAAATTACACACTTTATCCTTCCTTCAAAACTTCGTCCAAATTCTTGAATTTACACTAAAAGCATGTCTTTTAACCCAGCCTATATTCGCGATAAGGTAAATCCCCAGGCCATAAATTGCTTTTCTTCTAGCCGTTTGCATTTAATGATGCAGACACTGGGACTTCATTGAGGAGATGCCTGTATCTTCATATCTCCCAGAGAGTTAGAAGCAGCACTGACTCTGACTGCAAGGAATGTAACTGAGAATCCCCCCAGCCTACTGCATGGAGAGGGGAGTCAGACACTCACTGCAAGGGAACTGGCAATTGTTAATTAGTTTTTTGTTTTTTTTAATGTATTGATTTTTCATCAAATATTTCTATATATTTATATTTATAAAATAATATGTTCCTAGAGAGGATGTAGGTATAAAGATAGATAACTGGGAAATAGATAGATGGATAGATAGATAGATGTAGACATTCAGATGGACAGGCAGACATAGGTACATGTATATTTAAACTTATTTTCATTTACCATGTACAATATGTAAAATTACACCAAGCATATGCAATTTATAGGGTTTTGTAGGTTGTTATTGCAGCCTGCAAAGAATTCCTATTCTGTGCTCACTGAGCTCAGAGCTCTCTCAGATTGCTAATCATATGTCAAGATTGCTAGCAAGCAGCCATGAGCTTAACCTGCAGATATAATTTCTCTGGCAGCACATTGACATCCCTACAGCAATCAGGATCAACTGAAGAATCTTAAGTCATCTTTTCAATGCATTTAACTTAGTGATTTAATATGTTTTCCTTCTTTGTTAGTGCAAGTGGTGTGGTTCAGGTTCAAGCTACTCTGTTGAACCAACTGAAACCTTTTATATAGTCAGTCATAGTTCACTGGACTCATCCACAAATATTTTTTTCTTATTAACTATTATATTAACTTTGTTTTATTATGTATATATCTCTTTTATTGCAATCAAATGCCATACCTCATATATCATTTGTATCTTAATGATTGTACTTCTTTCTTTGTCATTTATCTTTTCTACCTTGTGCTAAACCTCAATACCTGGGTGCCTCCATTTTGTTCTGCTCCCCCCATGATGTCTGCAGTTTGCCCTGCTGTGGGAGTAGTCTGACTGAAGGATTGTATTATCTAAACAACTGAAATTAACTTTATTTATTTAAACTATATTTAAACTCCGCCCATTGACCAGGTCCGGACTGGGAACTAAAAGCAGCCCTGGAAAAAAATTCTCTACCAGCCCAATAATGCGTCGCGCCAGCATAGTGTGCTGATAAAGAGGGTGAAAAAATAACTTGAAATTGAAAACTCTTACTCCGACGAAGGAACGCATATAGGGCTTCAAAATAAACAAAAGAGCGCCTTTATTTTAAGCAGACGTACATTTGCATGTAATCAATGTTTCAGTACAACTACTTTGGCTTATTAAGGACATTTTAGTAATGGTACTGAAATGCTGAATGTCTGCGGTAGCACAACTGAAAAAAAATGAAGTGATCTTGTTTATTTTGAAGTTCTATGGGTGCGCTCTTCACTTTGAATATGTTATTGTGCATGAGTATGCAACTAGCAACAAGACAGGGCCAATACGTGCTCATTATTATATATATATAAGAGCAGACATTAGGTTGTTAGTGTAGGACCTGCCAAAGATGGGGTACATTGACGTTGTGGCAGGCTTATGCAATGTATGATCATATAATGTAACTAAACCCCCATTATTTTTGCCTAGATTAGGTGTTTAAAAAAAAAAAAAAAAAATCTGTCAACATTGAAGTTGCTGTTTAGTGGATAGGTGAGTGCGCTGGATCTTGTGTATTATATATATATAGTGATGTCCCGAACGGTTCGCAGAAAGGTTCGCCACGGACGGCGAACATATGCGCTGTTTGGTCCGCCCCCTATTCGTCATCATTGAGTAAACTTTGACCCTGTACCTCACAGTCAGCAGACACATTCCAGCCAATCAGCAGCAGACCCTCCCTCCCAGGCCCTCCCACCTCCTGGACAGCTCACTAAGAATGCAGCTTCACAATGAATGTAAAATGGATGCTGTCCAGGAGGTGGGAGGGTCTGGGAGGAAGGGTCTGCTGCTGATTGGCTGGAATGTGTCTGCTGACTGTGAGGTACAGGGTCAAAGTTTACTCAATGATGACATAGGGGGCGGACCGAACAGCGCATATGTTTACCGTCCGTGGCGAACTGTTCGGTGAACCGTTCGGGACATCACTATATATATATTAATGACATTTATGTGTGTATTATGCAGATATAAATGTATATTACTATATGTGTAACTATTATAGGCATAATTATATATGTTACTAATACACACATCAATATATATGCATATATATATATGTGTGTATTACTGTCAGGATCACATCAATTTACGTCTATTACATTTACTTCGTTTAGTGTATCTTGTCTCCTTTTTTTCTCTTACAGCGACCCTTGTGTATCTTTTACTTCATCCCAGCCCCTGTGTGTTTCTTTTTACCCTTCTCCAGCCTCTGTATTTCTCTTTCCATCAGACCCTTTTGTGTTGTTCTTAGCCCCAGCCACTTTGTCTCTTTCTCCCCATCCAAATCTCATCTGTTTCTCTTTCTAACTCCAGACTCTGTGTGCCTCTTTCTCTTCTCTCAGCCACTCTCTGTCTCTTTTTCCCCAGCCCAGCATTGCCTCCCACAAATCTTGTGTCACTTTGTTCCCCTTCCCTACTGTATGTCTCTTTGTCCCCCCAACAAACCTTCTGTGTTTCTCTCTTCCCCCTCTCCTCCCTGTATCTTTTTTCCCCCTCTCATCCCTGTGTCTCTCTTCCCCATCTCCTCCCTGTGTCTCTCTCTTACCCCTCTGTCTCTTTGTCCCCCATTCCCTGTGTCTCTATTACCCCTCTGTCTCTTTGTACCTTCATCCCATGTGTCTCTCTATTACCTCTCTGTCTCTTTGTCTCCCCTTCCCTGGTGTCTCTCTATTACCCCATCTGTCTCTGTGTTCCCCTTCTCCTGTGTCTCTCTATTACCCCTCTCTTTGTCCCCCCAACCCCTATTGACAATATTTGCCAAACCCCACTCCCTCATATGAAATGTATCTATTATAATCAAATCCAATCATCCAAATCTCTCTCTCTCTCCTTGCTTCTTTCTTTTTTCCTTTCTTTCTTTCTTTCTTTCTTTCTTTCTTTCTTTCTTTTCTTCTTTCTTTCTTTCTTTCTTTCTTTCTTTCTTTCTTCTAAAACTAGCTTCTCTGATCCCCCTTTCCTTTGGTGGACTCTGCTTTTGGTATGGTCTATTACTCAGCAATCTCAAAACATGAACCCTTCACAATTTTTTTTTTTTTTTTTTAATAAATTTAAAAAAAAAAAAAACATAAAGTAACCAAATCAAGTTACCATGCTATTCTTATATCAGAATTATCACAATGTGTTTTTTCTCCTACTATTTGTGCAACTTGTGCTGCTTTCACACAAGAATGAAAGCTATACTCTCTATATATTGTAATATTTACACACTTACACCACCTACTTTAGCTGCTCTCCGGGCTCCTATAACACGTGCTGAATACTCATGTAAAAGGTTGTTACATATTTTATTCACTACACCAAATATATTTTCACATTGGTTGACTGGTTCAACTTAATATATAAGCTATTCACAAACAGATACCTATGAAAAATACCTGCTGTATGCTTGAACATGTTTGGATTTAGTGTGATTTATCTGTTTAATATTACACCTCTTGGATACAATGCTACAAAACAAATACGCAGTTTCCACATAACCCCATTAGGTTGTGAGATGTGGGAAAAAATAAGAGGAGGGTGTCTGTACTCTGTCCTCACAAAGAACAAATTGGATTGATTTTCCACTTGGCCTTCTCTTATAGAATTGTGCTTTAAACAAATGGTTAAAGGGACACCATAGTCACCAGAACTACAGCTTATTGAATTTGTTCTGGTGAGTAGAATCATTACCTTCAGGCTTTTTGCTGTAAACACTGTCTTTTCAGAGAAAATGCAGTGTTTACATTACAGCCTAGTGATAACTTCACTGGCCACTCCTCAGATGGCTGTTAGAGATCCTTCCTGGGTCATGGCTGCCTAAAATGCATCCAAACATTCAGTGTCTCCTCCCTCTGCATGCAGACACTGAATTTTCCTCATATAGATTCATTGATTCAATTCATCTCTATGAGGAGATGCTGATTGGCCAGGGCTGTCTTTGAATTGTGCTGGCTCTGCCCCTGATCTGCCTCTTTGTCAATCTCAGCCAATCCTATGGGGAAGCACTGTGATTGGATCAGGCCACCACTTCTGACGATGTCAGAGGTCAGAGGATGTTCACAGGCAGCGGCAGCAGCATCAGACTTGAATTAGATTTTACTATCTTTAGGGAGGCAAAGGGGGCCAAGGGGGCTAGATAGTGGTTTTAACACTATAGGGTTAGGAATACATGTTTGTGTTCCTGACCCTATAGTGCTCCTTTAACCTAATTTTGTCCTAGAAATACCTGGCCAGGCTAATATGCAGACACCTCCAAGTTATTTTTAGAAATAAAGTGCTTGCAAGTGTCCAGTTCTCCTACACAACTGTGCCCAAACTTCCTAAGTCAATAAGGTGGAGGCAATAACTAGGGTCTACAAGTACCCAATCCTAGCTTCTCCAAATAAACTATGTGCCATTTGTGCCATCACCGTCTATCTATCTATCTATCTATCTATCTATCTATCTATCTATCAATCTATCTATCTATCTCTATCTGTCTACCTCTATCTATCTATCTATCTATCTATCTCTATTTATCTATCACCTATCTATCTATCTATCTATCTATCTATCTATCTATCTATCTATCTCTATCTCTCTACCTCTCTTTACCTATCTATCAATCTATCTATCTATATATCTATCTATCTATCTATCATCTGTCTATCAATCTATCAATCTATCTATATCTGTCTACCTCTATCTATCTATCTATCTATCTATTTATCTATCGTCTATCTATCTATGTATCTATCGTCTATCTATCTATCGATCTATCAATCTATCTATATATCTATCAATCTATCTCTCTCTCTATCTATTTATCTACTATCTATCAATCTATTATCTATCTATCTCTATCTATCTATCTATCAATCTATCTATCTACATCTATCTATCTCTCTGTCAATCTATCTCTGTCTATCTATCTATCATCTACCTACCTACAGGGCCGGCCTTAGGGGTGTGCGAGCTGTGCGGCCACACAGGGCACCATGGAGTAGGGGGCGTCATGTGACCGACACAGCTCACACATGGCCGGGTGAAAGGGCAACTAAAGGAAGTCCCGGGTGGACGATTCATTATTTTCCACCGGGAACTATAAAAGTAAAGGGGTGGGGCTTAAAGGCAGCCGGGGCAAAGCTTGCAGCTCACTGTAGCTCAAGGTACTTGCTGCACAGAAAAGAATCCCTGCTTCCACTCCTCCCTTCCAGCCATAAGGGAAAGAGGTAATTGTGTGTGTGACTGTACTCTGTGTGTGACTGTACTCTGTGTGACTGTACTCTGTGTGTGTGTGTGTGTGTGTGTGACTGTACTCCGTGTGTGTGTGTTTGTGTGACTGTACTCTGTGTGTGTTTGTGTGTGTGTGTGAGTGTGAGACTGTACTCTGTGTGTGACTGTCTGCCTGTGTGTGAGACTGTACTCTGTGTGTGACTGTAACAGTATCTGACTGTCTGCCTGTGTGTAAGGGTGTTGTGTGTGAGGATGCTTTATATGTGTGGGTGCTGTGTGTGTGTGTGTGTGAGCGAGCTGTGTGTGAGGGTGCTGTTAGTGTGTGTGTGTGCTGTGTGTGTGTATATGTGAGGGTGCTGTGTGTGTGTAAGGGTGCTGTGTGTGTGTGAGGGTGCTGTTAGTGTCTGTGTATGTGTAAGGGTGCTGTGTGTGTAAATGTTTTATATGTGTGGGTGCTGTGTGTGTGTGTGTGTGTGTGAGCGAGCTGTGTGTGAGGGTACTGTTAGTGTGTGTGTGTATATATATGTGAGGGTGCTGTGTGTGTGTAAGGGTGCTGTGTGTGTGTGAGGGTGCTGTTAGTGTCTGTTTAAGGATACTGTGTGTGTAAGGGTGCTGTATGTGAGAGGGTGCTGTTAGTGCTGGTAGTGTGTATGTGTGCTGTGTATGTGTAAGGGTGCTGTGTGTGTAAATGTGCTGTTAGTGTGTGTTTGTAAGGGTGATGAATGTGTGTGGGTGCTATGTGTGCGAGGGTGCTGTTTGTGTGTATTTGTTTGGAGGGACTCTGGGGGTGGGAGGACCATTTAGGAAATAGCCCCCCTCCCTTCTTATCTTTTGTAGGGAGGGGGGACCATGCTGCTGCCATCCCTGCAGGGCTAGAGTTCACTTTCACGAGATCTGAGCGGCAATGCTCAACGCCCCGACCTCACAAGAGGAACCCGGCGGAGCTGCTGGCTAGAGCTCTCCAGGTCCTCTCCTGCCTCCCTCTCTGCCCGTGGGCCGGTGAGGGTGATCTTTGATTTTCTCACCTGCCCAAGCACGGGCCGCGGGGATTAGGGTGTGCCCAGGCACACTACGTGCGCATGCCTATGTGTGTGAGAGACTGTATCCCGTGTGTGACTGTCTGCCTGTGTGTGTGTGTGAGAGAGAGAGACTGTACTCAGTGTGTGGCTTCCTGCCTGTGGGTGTATGAGACTGTACTCTGTGTGACTGTAATAGTGTCTGTCTGTGTGTGTGTGTGTGTGTGTGTGTGGGTAACTGTACTCTGTGTGTGACTGTAACAGTGTCTGCCTGTGTGGGTGTGTGTATGGGTGTGTGTGTGTGTGAGACTGTACTCTTTGTGTGACCGTCTGCCTGTGTAACTGTGTCTGACTGTAACTGTGCCTGACTGTCTGCCTTTTTGTGTGACTGGGCGGGCCTTTGGGGTTTGCGAACAGTGCGGCCGCACAGGGCACCATGGCAACAGGGGCACCAGGTGGCCGACACAGCTTGCAGTCGGTCACTCACAAGCCGGCCCGAATTGGAATGCAGGAGGAGCGTGGGGGAGGAGCATGGGGGAGTGACGTCGGAAGGACCTGCTCAGTGGGTGTCAGGGCGGCAGGTGCTCTTCAGTCGATGAGTCAGCGGAGTGGGAAAAACTGACAGCTGGATACAGGGAGCAGCAGCCTTTAATGTAAGTGCTTGTCCTTATTGCTTTGTATTTATTTATTTTTATAAAACAATTACGTTTTATTGAAGGGGGCAGGGGGCTAGTGATAAAGGGGGGCAGGGAGCTAGTGATAAAGGGGGGCAGAGTACTGATGAAGAGGGCAGGGGGCTGATGAAGGGGGCAGGGTTTTGTTGAAGGGGGTGCAGGTTGTGAATGTGCTTGAAATTGTCTAAGGGGTCAAACAAAGATGAGAGGGGGGGGGTGAGGTTGCCATAAGATTGGCTCTCACAGGGCACCTGAACACCTAAGGCCGGCCCTGCCTACCTACCTACCTACTTACCTATCTATCTATCGATCTATCTATCATCTATCTATGTCTATCTATTAATCTATCAATATCTATCTATCTATCTATTTAGCTATCATCTATCTATCTATCTATCTATCTATCTATCAATACATATCTATCTATATTTCTATCATCTATCTATCAATCTATCTATCTATATTTATCTATAGTATATCTATCTATCTATATATCTATCTATCTATCTATCAATCTATCTATCTATCTATCTATCTATCTTTCTATCTATCTATCAGTCTCTATCTATCTATCTACCTATCTATTTATCTATCAATATCTATCTATCTTTCTATCTATATTTCTATCATCTATCCATCAATCAATCCATCTATCTCTATCTAGTTACCTCTATCTATCTATCTATCTATCTATCTATCTATCTATCAATATCTATCTATCTATCTATCTATCTATATTTCTATCATCTATCTATCATCAATCAATCTATCTATTTCTATCTATTTACCTCTATATATCTATCTATCTATCTATCTATCTATCTATCAATATCTATCAATCAATATATATATATATATATATCTTTCTATCATCTATCTATCAATCTATCTCTATATTTCTACCTCTATCTATCGATTGGTCTTTCTTTCTTTCTCTCTCTCTATCTATAGCTTGTCTACCTGTCTTTCTATCATAACATTGATAAATTTGATGTTGTTTGTTTTGTTCCTTTGTCTTTCTACCTACCTATATATCTGGTGTGTGACAGTATTCCCTGCTACAATTCTTGTAGTATATATGTGTATGTACAGACACTTCCTATGGATACTGTACTGGTCTATTTGTGGAATTTTTCTTTTCTTACATTGTATGGCTAAAATGTGATTGTCACAGAGCACTGTGTCTTCATCTAAAATAGATTACAGTAAATGTGTGTATCTGTGATCAGAGGTCACTTTTCCCCATTGACAAGACATTTTCAGCAGGATCTAATAAGTATTGCACTATTTCCCTATACCTGTTTCCTGTAGAAGGTGTAAGGGTGGGAGTTTGTGGTGAATATTTCAATATTTCTTCTTCCACAATCACACCCAATTTAGCAGCTCTCAATCGTTCTTCCGAATTAAGCAACCATATACCATAATGCTTAACAATATCTGCTAGGCATTGCCTAGAACAAAGCTAAGAGAAACCTATTCACTTAAAAATTGCAATTATCCATAAATATACACTTCCTTGGCCTGGCATCTAAACTCATAAATCCCTGGGCTGCACCAAATGCTATTAGATTGAAAAATGCCAACCATATTGAGTCAATGTTACAGCATTAAAACATTTTACAATGAAAATCTAGGCATAGCCTGGATATTGGCCGTTCTGGAAATCATATCCCTTTATAGGTCTCTAGTAGATGACTATTTCCACTTCTTTGCATTAGTTGCGTGCATGAAGTGTATACAGGTCCTGTATGGATGTTAGTTAGGTGCCAAAATTCAACAGCAGAATGGAATCAGAATGTACACTAAAAAAAGGGTAGGGAAAAAACCTTCTCCTCTCCTGTAGCTGAATTAAATTAAGCCATCCTCATGTTTGATCTTGTGACTAATAGATCCAACACAGCTCTCAGAATAAACATGACATTCTATTTTATAGACAAACAATATGCTACATGGTAATTATTGGCTCGATGTGTGTTTATGCATGTGTATCTGTGCATGTGAGTGTGTGCATAGATGCACCTCTCTGTAAATGTTTTTCTGTGTGTGTGTGTTTCTGTATGTGTGG